TCCCTGCAAGCGGAGCAACAAAAAAAGGGCCAGTGGGTCAATGAGGCAAAACCACACTTTAAGCACAGTCCCAAATGAAATGGATATTGTTACGGCTAACCACAGCCGCCCCTAGAACTTATTTCTCTCTCACCTTCCATCACTGTAAGGCTTGTCCCAAATGTTTCAATCTTGCAAGCTTCCGAAAAGCATCAAATACCCGTGCATGGAACAGAGAAACATAGCATGAAGAAAGTCCGAATAGAAAGATATGTAAACATGATCCAACGGGCAACCCGCCTGACATGGGAAGCCTCCTATTACTCCACGTGCCCGATTGGCCAGACCGCAGGCACTGGGAGAGAATTTTCGGACATCTGGATACACAGCGCCACGATGCAAACATTGGTTTTTCATGCGGGCTTTCAACACCTCTTGGCAGAACAGGTTGTTCTCCACCTGACATGACATGATGACTGAAAGAAGTATGACATAGACTGCAAAGTGAAACAACCGTCATTGAGGGGCGCGCGTAGCACAAAGGAACCACGTGCCTCACAAAATGGAATCACAAGGAGTTAGTACCTCAAGTAGCGTTCAATTCCAAATGCTCCAATGGCAGAAAATACCACAATCTGACGTCTGGCAACACTACAGCCCATCTTTTTCTCAGCTGTTTCTTGCTCGCTTCTGCGAAGCCCCAGCAGCATCCTGAAAATGTCAGCGCAACCAAAATCAATCCAAAGAATGTAAGACAGTGACATTGGCCCATCTTGCAATCCAAAACAGTTTACCTCTTACACTGCACCAAAGCACTGACTCCGGCTCCGGTGTTGAAGTTTGCAACACTGTCCATGTTTTCAGCGACCAGGACCACTGCCACCTCACAAACATAAAATCAAATCCTATCCTTGGAAGTGGCAACTTGACAGAGGCCCCAACACTTGTCCGTTCCACCGAGAAAAGATCGGAGTTCCCTTTGGCACCCTGCAGAGACATGAGTCTATATAATGCAAAATGCAAATCAGAAACACAGATTCTGCTGCTAAGAAGGGGGCAACAACAAAAAGCAACAATAAAACCCTGCCTGATTTGATTGACGCCAACGCATCTAACGGACGAAAAGCCAGCAAGAAGCTGCGCTGCACTTTCAGGCGTCTCGTCTTTCGAATTCAAATCAGACGCTGCATGGGTCATTGCAGTGTGGACCATTGCTGGACGGTAGATGCGAAGCAAGTGAAGAAGTTTCCCTGTTTCAACACAAAAAATGAAGTTCATTACAAATCAATTTGATTTGGAATTCGTTTCGCTCATACCTTGTCAATTGTTCTTGGCTTTCAAGCACACGATTGCCTGCTACATGTAAGCCTGCTGTCAACCACAAGGTTTAAAATGCTCAATCATGAACCACTGCTCATCAAGAATCACTCTTGCCAAAACTAATGCATACTGACACATACTGAATTCTGAACCCTGAGAGCTGCACGAGCTCAACCCCAGGTCGAGGCCGCCCACTCCCGAAAAGAGTGAAATCGCCTCCTGCTTTCCATCCTAAGAATCGCCAATCATCATGATGATAAAAGATAAAATGAAAATCAAAAGCGCAACACTGAGGGAAGATCAGTCTTCATCGCATCAGGCCAAGTCTGCCTGAAAGCATTCAGGTCCACGGCCTTTGGGTCTGGTGACGTCCACCCAGTTGGCAGTCCTGCCCAGTCAGAAAAATTGAACCTCATGAAACCATGACATGAAACCGAAACCGTCCTTGGAACCATTCTGCAACCTCCACGCTCAGGTACCGCCCAGGGGCTTGTCCAGACTTCTCAAGCAATGAAATGTAGTCTGCAGAGAACCGGATCTGGTTCGCCAGGTCCTGGTTATGAAAAGTTGAGTTTTGACGATGTTTCAAATTAAAATCAAAATTGAGTCCCTGACACTTGATGCTCGCACTGACACATGATCTTCAGCAGAAGCGATGGTCGTCGCCGAAAAGCACCCTGACTGGTTTAACCCTCTTCAAGACTGCTATGTTGACTGTATGCTTCAGGGTTCATTGAGTTCCCAACGGATTGAGCTCCAAGATGTTGCCACCTTAGAGCCTTCAAAGACCGTGGCACCCTTCTTGGTCTTCTTGGCCCCCGACTTCGGCGCAACCTAAGGTTGAAGCATTGCACAACCATGCGCAATTTCTCAGATCAATGAGAACCGGACCAGTTTCATCTTCAGCTTCTCCGTCTTCGGCAAGTTGTACGTGTAAGTTTCCAGAGCTGCAGAGTACTTAGAAACCACGTAAGCAACTGCGCAACTTGGCAACACTGAGCCCTTCATTTGTTTGGAAGTGCGCGTTCCACTTGCTGCTGGATTGGTCTTTTAATTTTTTTTGGGTTTTAGTTTTCTTCTTCACCTTCAACTTCATGCTCTTGGCCTTCACGCCCTTGGCTTTTGCAGCCGGCATAATGGCCTGCAGCGCGGTGACCGGCAAATTCGACCAAATCCAAAAAAAAAACAAGAAACAATCTAGCCTTTCGAGGCATCTCCTCCTCGTCAGAGGACCTATGGTTTCCAGCCATGACATTACATGAATGCGCGAGTTCTGTCCAAACCCGGATTGAGGTTCCAACCCGCTGAGGACAGACACATCCCAGTCCAGAGGCATTGCGCCGGAAAAACAGGCTGCGGAAAACGGGCGCCGACGTGGGAAAAACAATACAAAGTTTTGCCCGGCTTTCCAAAAAGCACAGCATATATATAGGCACCATCCAAAAAAATACTACATGTTTTAAAATAGATGTTGCTTTCATTTGCCTTCAAATCACTTTCAGCCTTTAAGCCTCTTGTGGCAAGGATAGCAACATGGCTTCACAGGCAAGGTAAAAAGCTTGCTGACAGCAACATGGCTGGGTCAGGTAGGGAACTCGTGTTCAACAATCGGCCTAAAACCATCGATCGCTTCAATGACTAAAAATGTCCAGGAAGAAGTGCCTATGTCAATGGTCAAGACAATGGGAGGGAAGGATTTGGCCCCAAGGCAACGGAAGAGAATGTCTCAAACATCACAGACAGGCAAGGTACAACTTTGGAACCCCCATTCACTTTGGAACCCCCATTCAAGGGAAAATTCTTTCAATATTGTGACTGCAAGCTAAGCCGCTGATGCGGCATTCCAAGCAATAGGCAAAGCCACAAGGGTGGCACCAGAACATTGCCTCGGCACAACCACAATTATCAAAATTCTTACAGCATTGTGGACCTGAAGGTCTGCCGAACCACGGAATGTCTTCGGTCTTCTTTTTGAAATCAGTAAAGAATTTTTGTGCCGCGTCCGCATCACGGAACAGCTCCTTGGCCTGTGTTGAGGCTTCACGTCTGCGCTTTGTTTTCTTCACAGATTTTCGAGGGCCCCAAGGAGATCTGGCTTGCAAGTCCACTCCGGCGTCGGAATCGGATGCTTCGGCTGCGGCTGAAGAAGTAGCCGGTTCATCGGTATCCTTCTTTTGCTTGGGCATTTTCTTGGGCTGAATCTTTTTAGGTGCATCTGTTTCGGAAGCCGAAGTTTCTTCCTGTCTTTTTGCTTTTTCGAGATGCTTCTTAAATCGAGCAGCTATCTCTTTTCTCAATGAAGCAACCCGTTTATCATCTTCATCTTCTGGCGGGCCTAGTTCTTGGTCACTCGGCGTTGCACCTGTTCGA